GTCAGTCAGCTGCAGTTTGGGCTTCCTCAGGGGTGTGTGTGGCTGAGTACAACCTGTGGTCTCCAACAACAGCACTGCAGAAGAGACCACTGGACTGCAGTGACAAAGGAGGTGGTGTCCCAGTTCTGGTGCCCAGTTCTGGTGCCCAGTTCTGGTGCCCAGTTCTGGTGCCCAGTTCTGGCTTGCTAACCTGCACTGCACACCTGTGCCTTGGGCCGTGACACTGCTACCTCAGTTGTGCTGCAGGTACAGCTCTGAATTTCTCTGCTTCCACCTCCTCTGGAATGGGAAAAAAAAAGCCTCTTGTAGCTGTGGGAGTTAGATGCTCACAGGAGTTCCTGGGGCACCTCAGCCAGATTTAAATCCATTAGGATTCAGTGGCAGTGGATGTTAGCTGATGGGACCTTCAGAGGGCTGGAGGCAGGGAGAAGTACTTGACGTCTCTTTTACTGGGAAATAGTTGTTCTGATGTTAAAATCCTGCCCAGAGCATTGGCAGGGGATGGGGTGGGCTTGGATTAAGCATTTTCTCTTCAGTGTTTCTCCTCTGCTCTCTCCCATGCTCCGCAACTGGAGGAGGTGGTGACAGTGTGCTCAGGGTTGTGTGCTGCCAGTGCCTGCAGAGAGGAGAGAAGTCAGGGCCTCTGGGTTAGTGGGAATGAACTTCTGTTAGCAGCAGTCTCAGCTCCGTGGTCAGTTCCAGAGCCCAGAGTGATGTGCTGTGCCCTCTGCTGTGGCCAGAGTGGGTGAGTGTGCAGGACCTCTCAGCTTAGTGCTGGAAGGGATTTCCCAGCTGGCAAGGAGCTGTTTGCATTGAGTGGCTCCTTCTGGGCTCCTGAAATGGCTGCATGAACTTTCACTTTCCTTTTCAAATGGTTTCTTTATTTATTTAAGAGGGTTTAATTTTCAAAGGTACTTTGTAGGTAGCAATGACAAATAACCTTCACTTTCTTCCTGTTCCTTTTGATCTATTTTTGTTCCGTGACTGTCAGTACATAAGTTGTTTCGTCCCTGCTGACCAGATCCTTCGTGTCCCAGAGCAACATGATCAGAGAGGCACTTGTTTGTGTTGCTGTGAGAAGTGGTGGCAAGCAGGAACTGTTTGTACATCTCTGTACAATGCAGAGTTAATGGGATTCACTTCAGGCACTTCTTACCTCCAGCAAAGAAAATATTTTGGTACAGGAATATATTTGAGTCATCTTTTGCTTCATGCTCAGCCCTTTTGTTCTTCAGACAAGCAGGGACAGGCACAGTCTGGGCTGGGCTGTTTTTAACTTCAGGCTGACAAAATAAGCCTCTGGTGCAGGAGTAGGAGTGGGATAACCTCACTCCTAGCTGCAGGTTGAGGTGAGACTGAGTTTAAGTTCCACATGTGGCATTTTGGAGATGATCACTGAAATATGATGTTCCTCTGTTGGCAGTTTTGGCACTGAAGAGGGTGCACCACACTGTAAAATGCTACATAGCAGAAGGCTGTGCCCTCTCAGATACTTACAGGTGACTCAACATGACAAGAAAACAGCAGTTTTAATTTCTGTGGGTAGTTTTTACTTCAAGGGGAAAAAAAACCTTTAAAAGAGACTAAAAGTTAAAGCCACACAGATCATTCCTCATGTTCACAACACCCTTCTGATGTCCCTGCTGAAGTGCTGCAGTGGCAGCTGCATCTCAGCACCTCCAGAACAGCACTTGAACTCTCTCAATGAAGTGCTGAGCTTGGTAGATTTCATTTGTACAGCCAGAAAGTTCAGGGACGTGTGATAGGCACAGAGTTCCACTCCCTGGGGTCATGTAGTTTCTGTTCTGGGCTGGCTGGAGATCTGTGTTGGGATTTTGAGGAAGATGTTGTGTGTTTTTTCTGTGGTAGCTTGAGCTCTCCATGCTGTGCTGCAGGGATAGGAAGGAGCTGTGAAACCAGGCAGTGTGAACAACATTCCAGCTCACCTGGGCACACTCCTGAGAGCTGAGACAGGGGCTGGGAGTAAAGCTGTGCCACATGTGAGGCAGGAACATCTGAGGAACACTTCTGAATCCAAGTAGTGCCATAGAACAGCCTCGTTATGTGTGTTCTCCTCTGTTAATACTCTTCCCCTTGATATTGGGGTGTGAGGAAGTTGCTGTATTCCTAGCCCAGACTTCTGATGGAAATAACTGTTTATTTCCCTCCTGTTTACGTTCCTAACCCAGACAGAGCCCTCCCTGCAGCTCTGGGTGAACCCAGAGCTCTCCCTGGGGCTGGAGAGTTCCCTAGTAGTTATTGTACTGTTGAAGACTCCTCTGCTGCAGCTTACCTGTGTGAGAGGTAGGGATCCAGCTCCCCAGAGAATTGCTTGGGGCTCACCTGGGTCTGTTTGGATACTCCTTTGTCATCCTCAGGGGGTTCTGGTCCTTCTCCCAAGGGAAGGTGTCCCTTTGGACAGCTGAGCAGAGTCACCTCTTTGCTCAGCCCTTCCCAGTCCATCCACAGGCAGTACCTTGGGTCAGGGAATAGCTGTAGTATTCCAGGTGCTTGCATGGAAATCTCTGCATGCTGAACCTCTGGAAGCTAGAAAAGCAGCTGATTTGGTGTGAAAACACATCCAGATCTTGTTCCCAGTGGGACTGACTGACCTTTCCTCTCTGTTGCAGTGCGTAAAGGTTGCCATAAAGGACAAGCAAGTCAAATACTTCATCCATTACAGTGGCTGGAATAAAAAGTAAGTACTGCATGAAATGAAAGCAGAGTTTCTTTTTCCTTTGCAGTCAAATCTGTTGTCAGTTTGAGTGTGAGCTGGAGGGACTAGCACTGCCATGGTCCCATGAGGAGATGTTCTGGGACTGACCTAAATAGGTTTTATACCAAAATATAGCAACAGAAAGCAAGCACTGCCAAACTAAGCATTTCCTGCAGAGCTTAGGGTATGACTAGGCTGATGGGAATCCTCTATAGAATTCTGTTTGTTCTGAGTGGAAAATAGTGACTGTAGTTGCTCCCTGGCACAAATCCCTAGTGTGAGACTTCGTTGTTATGTGTTGGTAGGAGAGGCAACTCCTGCTGAGGTGAAACAAAACTCCACTCAAACACACAGTGTATTTGGCTTTTATGCCACTTTTTGGCAGCAAATTTGGGAGCAGCACAGCTTGCTGAGGGCTGTGTTCAGCATGGGGAAGGGTTTGGCCTTTCCCAGGAGCAGCTGTAGCCTGTATTCATTTCCAGCCTCTCATGGTAAAGTAAACTTGGAGAGACTTTTTCCTCCTGCAGAAGTGTTTGAATTGGTGAAGCTGAAAGGCCTCTCCATGAAATAAGTGTTGAGCCCTTTGTTTTTCACCTTCCTGGTGAAAACTTCCATGAGATTGTTGTATTGATGGAGTTGACTTTTCCCTTTTGAATTCTGTTCTGCCACATTGCTGTGAATTTAGGCAAAATGGAGTTTTCCTTAGTGATCAAAAGCTTCAGCTCTACAGACTCAGAAGCCTCAGAGAGCAGTTTCCTGTTTGGTTTCATTTCAGTGCTGAAGACTGTCACTGTGATCTTGCTCTCACTGACACAACCAAAAGCTGAACCTCATGTTTTCTGTGTAACTGAACTGCATCCTCTCACCCTCCTGCAAATGTGCAGAGATGTTTGTAAACACAACACTCACAGAGCATAATTAGTCCTGTGGTGGCTGCTGCCTGCTAATGAGGCAGCA